TAAATTTCTATCAATTACTTCGATTAAATGACTACAATATTTAGGCTTTTCTAGTTTCAGAGACGAAAGGATTTTGACAATCCTCATCAATTGAGGCAACAGCATTCCATAGTATGTATCTTTTTCTCCTTGTAATCTTTGTATGGCTTCAACTATCGGTTTCAAACATTTGACATATTCGCTCAAAAATTCTAGATCTGTTTCCTTAAAAAGAAGTTTTAAACTTTTTAGTGTTTCGTTCAAATGTTCCTTTACAATTAAGAGGTCGTTCACTCGTAATAAGAATTCCATCTTGTCGGGCATAGAGAAGTAGAAGATTTTCCTGTTGTATCTAAATAAGTTTCACAAGCTTTCGGTGATCGCGCATAAATTCCAGAGTGCTTGACATTTTCCGAAAGCCGAATTGTGGACTTTCTTATAAGCGTTGTTTTCTGCCATTGCCTGTTTAATGTCTACCGCTGCAATTAAATGTAAAGTATGCGTGGCACATCTTTCGTGACTAGGCAGTTCATAATCACTTATGTGGTCTTCAACCGGTTCTGGAAAAGCTTGTGGAAGCAAATCACTGTCTTCATCAATTTCACTATCTTCGTTATCTTCATCATAACTGGCTGTATTGTAGTTACTATTTTGTTGACAATCTGATGATATGACAATAGATTCGGACTTTCCAAACATTCTAAAAGCTATTACCATGTTTGAACCATTATCGGTTATTGTTTTCGTAATTTTGTGTAATTTTAAATCGAACTCAGAATGCACCTCATTCATTATCTCGGCTACTTTATCATAAGTATGTGACCCCTTGAATCTTCTGCAAGCGATTGCAGCTCCTTCCCTTTTCAATGTACCACTGTCGATCCAATGAACCGTCATGCCTAAATAGCTACGTTTTGATGATGACTAAACGTCCGCTGCGGTGCATACAAAATCTACAGCTTGTAAAGATTGTTTTAACTTCGTCATAACTTGGTGATATTCATCTTCAATTCTACGTACAAGTGAGTACCTACCCAAGATTTTGGGTGTTTTTGAAAGTTTACTTGCGCCTTCAATTAATTTTCCAAAAGATCTACAATAGACACAGGTGTTATATTTTCTACTACAAAGTAGATAATTAAGTTGTTCAAATTGAGTGCTATTCCACTAGCTCCACTCAAGGTTGTTTGCTTCATCTTTTTCTGGCCTGTAGCACTGCCTCTCTCTTCAGATTTTCTTTTCGTAATATGGGATGTTTTTAATTGTTCATATTCTTTCAGCACATCTGCATGTCCTTTTGTCTGAAAATATATTTAAGAGAAAAAATATTAAAAAATTGTTCTAAATGCTTAGAAAGAACCGTTTTAGACTATAACTTTTTAAACGGTATTGAGTATATCCAGTATTCTATGACTGACAAGGGAACAGTCGGGGCATCCCTCACCGATTTGAATGGGCATTGGATATATTGTAGAAGATCAAGAAATATTAGACACGTATTTTTATACGTGTCTAATATTTCTTTACTACTAAAAGGCATGCAAGTTTTCCCTATTTCATTCTTTGAAAATTTTCATAACATTCTTTTTAGATTTTTTTATTTATAACCACTATTTATAACCTCTAAAGGTACCTTATTTTTTATGCATCATAACATAAATACAATTCTATCTCCTTTTTTATAGTGCCGCCAAAAAATGCTATTTGGACTTATTTTATAAAGCATGATGCAGTTGCTAAATGCAAAATTTGTCAGCTGGATGTAAAGACAGCTGGAAATACAACCAATTTACATTTCCATATGAATCGTTCTCATCCCGATATCCAAATGGGTTTTCAAAATAAATCTGTAGTATCCCTCAAGAGAAAACAAATGGTAACATATTATTCTTCAGTTTTATGCAGTTTTATAATCTTTAATTGTATGTTTTATGTAAATTTTAGTTTGAAGTAGACAACGAAGATGCTACCGATTTCGATAACCCCGTCTCATCTCCGACACCCTCTACGTCATCAATTAAATCAGAAACGCGATCAATATCGATTTCACCAAGTCCTGTTTCGAAACAACTTAGAATTGACTTAGCATTTGAAAAACAAAAGTCGTATCAAGGTATGGAAGTTGTAATTATTCAATCATGTTTCGAATAACTTTTTTCGAATAAATAAATAAATAACTAATAGCGTTTTCGACTGAACCGAATTCAACCCAGGTTAGAGCGATTAGGTCCTATCCACAAGTCAATTACTAGATTGTGATTGGTCAGTTCTCTGGTTACAACTTGCGACATCTATTGTAGATTGGACCTAATCGCTTTAACTCGGGTTGGATTTGGTCCAGTCGAAAACGCTATAATCATTTAATTTATTGATATTGTATTGGAAGTATCTATCATTTTCGTAAGTGTTTCTTTTTAAAATATTATTCTAGTCAATTTAAATATAATATTTAGTTTTTGTGTTTTTGAATATTTATTTTTTTAAATTTTCTCAAATATATAAAAGTTTTTATTCACATTATCGGGTAGCATTACTTCAATCAGTAGATATATTTAAAAAATTGTATTATAGTTATTTTTAATTTTTTAGATGGAGGCTCCAGAGCTGCGGATGTGACAAATAAACTGCTATTTATGATTACTAAAAATAACTTACCATTTCGTGTTGTTGAAAAGGTGGGTTTCCAAACCTTTATGAATACAATATTGCCGTTATACAAGATCCCTAGTAGGAAAACTATAACTCATCTTATACAAGAGAAATACGAACTTTTATCAGATATGACGAAAGCACAACTTTCAAAGTAAAGTATTTATCTTTAACTACGGATATTTGGACCGAATCGTTAAATACAAAAAGTTTTTTGGGCTTAACGGCACACTTCTTGGTGAATGAACAACATAAAAATGTTACAATTGGCGTTGTTGAACTGACGGACAGACATCAGTCCGCATATTTAAAAAATTAGTTACTAAGTTTAATTAACAAATGGAATATAAACATTGAAGGTATTGTAGTTATTGTGTCAGATAATGGTGCCAACATAAAAAAGACTATTGTTGATGCCTTCGGCGGCGACAAGCATTTGCCATCCTTCGCGCATACTTTAAACTTGGATCTAGCAAAATAATTGATGAAAATGGTGTCGTAAAAGATTTCTGTGCAAAAATAAAAAATATTGCCACATTTTTTTAAAAAATCAGTTATTGCTGCAAACCAATTACGACTTCATTCGGACTTAAAATTAATTCAAAGTGTCGAAACACGTTGAAATTCTACACATAGTATGCTAGAGAGGTTTATAGAATTGTCGGAAAAAATTAGCTGCATTATTTTGCAGTGTCCTACGGTTCCTCCGATGCTATCTGCCTCGGAGTTGCAATCGACCAAAGAATTTGTTCAGCTGTTAAAACCATTTAAAGATGCAACAAAAATCATATGCGGCGAACACTACATCACTGCGAGTAAAGTATTTCCAATTGTTAATATTTTAAGAAATAAATTACAGGCATTTGAACCTGATACCGATATAGGGCATCATTTTAAAAAGGCGTTAATAGATCAATTTATGAAACTATTTTAAAGTTTGGAATAAGTATCATTATTAGCTATAGCTACAATTTTAGATCCTCGGTTTAAAAATATTAATTTTACTGATAAAATTGCTTGCTCACAGGCTATTAACAAAATTACAAGATTTATAAATTTCAGAGTTACAAATACCAATCTTGAATGTCAACGTCAACGAAAAAATTCAGATAATAACGATGAAGCAAACTTTTGGTCTTATCATGAAAATCTTGTAAATTTAAATATATCTAGACAGGTTTTTAATCAAGATCCTGACCAAATGCTAGAAGATTTTCGTTATTATTTGAATCAACCACCTGTAAAAATGGAAGATAGTATTATCAAATATTGGAGCATAGCCCGAGATTCGCCTCTAAGCGCCTTAGCAATTAAATATCAATTATTAATTGCCACTTCAGTTCCTTCTGAAAGACTATTTTCCGTAGCAGGTAAAATAATGACTGAAGAACGAAATAGGTTGACAAGTGATCACCTAAATCAATTGCTATTTTTACATTCCCTCGATCTCAGCGATTGACATTTATAAAATAATTCTAAGGTATTATAAGTCATGTGTGTGTGCACTTTTAACATGTATGTCAATAACATCGTTTATTTCACAAATCAAAAAATTTCATTTAAATAAATGTGTTTTTAATTAAAAAAATAATGTTAGCGCAATTATGTAAACATTATAATAAATACATGTGTGTGTGTGTGTGTGTGTGTGTGTGTGCCATTTAAATAATTATATTCATATAACCTGCATAGTATACTTTTTATCCAATATCTTTGAGTAATTTAAGTATTGATATTGATGATATCGATACAGAAAGTTTGATATTTTTTGTATATCGATATTTTTATCCACAATACGTATCGATACGATGTATCGATACTTTTGGGTTGTATCGCCCATCTCTAGTATGTCACAAACAGCAGGATAGATCACCAGGTATGTAGTTGTTCGCTAACCTTTCCAACTGATATACAGCCTGCAGTGCTCCGTTACGGTGAAGAATGAAATCCCAATGACTTTAAATTCCGACGTGTAATTTAACATAGCTGTATCTCGGAAACCAGTAATAAACTACACCATGTTTAAATAACATTTTTGCCTTATATTACTTCATTCTATATTCCCACGAAATATTGACCTTTCCTCCCGGAACACCTTGTATAAAAATATAGTAAGTTAGGTTAGGTTAGGTTAGATTAGAATTTTCTTGGGGAGGCGGTATGGGGGAGGGGTTTCGCCCCTCCCCCGCTTATGCGTACTGTGTTCCAAAGGGGAGCATCGCAGATGCACACAAAATAAAACAGACACAGCAGATTTAATGAATCGGACACAGTAAAAAATAAATGTGCTGTTACGATCGCCACGGCTATCGTTGCAGTGCAACGATCGTTGATGGAGGAACTGTGAAAAGACTTTGTTTTCGACTGTTGATATGGTTTATTTTGTCTTCAAATTGAGAGCACGTTGCCGCTTGTACAGAGTGGATAGCTTAAGAATTGGCTTGGAACTTGATGTATATCAGACGAGAGCTAGCCGGGAACTGAGAGGTATTCGGAGGTTTTTATAGGGCACAGGAAAAAAACGGTAATAAATTTGGAAGAGAAAAAGGAAATTCTTGCGAGGGCAGAAATTCGGGGATATCATAGCTATTAGTTTGTTATTTTAAGATGAAGTCGGTCATTAGGATTAAGTAAGATAGATATGGAGGAACATGCGTCATCGTCGCCCTCGCGACGGTCTACAGATAGTACAAATTAAAATAAATAATATAAGTTAAAATAAACAACTAAAAATATACGTTGCGGCACGTAACAGTGCTCGATTGCAACCACCGTGTGTCCGTTTGTTACTGTGTCCGTTTCTTACTGTATCTGATTGCAACCACCGAGTGTCCATTTAACCTACTATGTCCGTTTGTTACTGAGTCCGATTTTTACTGTGTCCATTTCTTACTGTGTCCGTTTTTCGCTGTGTCCGATTCATTCAACCTACTGTGTCTGTTTTATTCTATGCGCATCTGGGACTCACTCGAGCCATCTACATAGCAGTGAACAGCGGCTTTCAATGCAATCTCTTAATATAAATTAATATCAAAGTTCAGTAAAAAAAACCGAGAAGTTGCGCACTTAATAAATATATTTTATATTCTATATTTTATAATATTTTGTTGTATCATTCATTTTTATTATTTTATTTTTTTGCCATAAGTTAAGAGCTACATAGTTAAAATTTGAATATTATACCTCAGGGAACGTTGTCATTTAAAAACCTGCGGAACAAACTCCGTTAACAGCACTTTATATTGCACAATTAACTAAAGAAGCTGGATTTCCCAATGGAGTAATAAATGTTGTTCCTGGTTATGGTAAAGCTGGGGCTGCATTAGTAGCTCATAATAAAGTTGACAAAATCGCATTTACTGGTTCTACAGAAGTTGGAAAATTAATACAACAAAGTGATGTAAAAAATTTAAAAAGAATGACATTAGAATTAGGCGGAAAATCCCCTAATATTATTTTGGAAGATGCTAATTTTAATGATGCAGTAGAAAGAGCACACTATGGATTGTTCTTTAACATGGTAATTTAGTTTGGAATTTTACATTGATTGTTTTTAATAAATATATATTTTTATTATCAATTTAATGTGATCTACTTATACTTCGTTAATTTGTGTAAGGGTCAATGCTGTTGCGCAGGATCTAGAACTTTCGTCCAAGATAGTATCTATGACGAGTTCGTAGAAAAAAGTGTACTTCGCGCAAAAAATAAAAGCGTGGGAGATCCATTTGATACGAAAACAGAGCAAGGACCACAGATATATTTAAATTTATATCAAGCTACGAATAATCAGTTATAATGCTCTAACGAGTCACATAGGCATACACATACATACACACAGACACGCGCGCGCGCACATACATACATACAGACACGCGCGCGCGCACATGCACGCGCACGCACACACGCATGCACGCACGCGTGCGCGCGTACGCACATGTACATATACTCTAATTAATTTACATAATTATTATACGTATGCGTGCGTGTGTGCATGCGTGCCTAATTCTTTAATAAAATATTCATAAGAGCTGAACATAAAGAATATTCTCCTAACAAAGAGAAATAGGATATGATAGAAAATGATATCTTTTCCTTCGGACTCGATCCCATATAGCACAGGTAGATTCTAAGCAGGTTCTCAGTATATCGCAACCGTAAATTGCGATTATTCCATGAATATCCGAAATACGTACTGTAATATTTTGAGAATATACTGAGAATGTTCCTATGTCCGCTTCCGCAGTCTACTCAGTATATACTGAGAATATTTCGTATTATATTGTAGGTATATCTAAATAATATTTTAATAATATTACTAGTATCGATTAGAAATATTTCCTAGTTTATTGTTAGTATCTTTGTAGAATATTTATATAATATATAAATATTCTGCAGGTCTTTTTGGGTATAATAAAAATGACAAATTGGTTATATATATGTTATTATATATATTTTTTAAATTAGTTTAACATATAAATGAACTCTTTATACATATATTAATAAACATATAAATGAACTCTTAACAACTTGTACTGCCTTTATAAACTATAAACTTTATAAATTATAATATATATATATATATATATGTATCTTCATAAATTATATATATTAGGTTGTTCGGAAAGTTCGTTTCAAATTTCGCGCGCTCCACATTTCTATGTAATCAGTAAGAACGAGGGCGCTCTAAACGATTTTATGTTTGTCAACAAACATTCCCGGATCTATGAGCCCGCTAAGGAAACTTCGCAGATCTTCCTAAGTGCAACTATTTCGTCAGAAATCAGTTTGAAAAATGGAGAACCAAAAAGTCCATTTTCGTCATGTGATGCTATATTGTTTTAAACGTGGCTTCACGGCTTCGCAGACCCTGAATGAGATGTTTTCAGTATATGGAGATGCCTGCGTCACTCACCAGACAGTTCGAAAATGGTATCGAAGATTCGAAGCTGGCGATTTCAACATGGAAGATCAAGCTCGCTCAGGCCGGCCTCAGGAGGTTGATGAAACGCTTCTTATGGATCTCGTGCACGAAAATCCTAGAGTGACAGTTAGAGAACTCGCCGACACTCTGCACAAGTCTGTTTCTACCGTGCATGACCATTTGAGGAAGCTAGGATTCTCAAGTCGACTGGATGTGTAGGTGCCACATATATGTAAAATCTAAAATAACTCAATTATTTTTTGTTTTTTTGCACGTTCCTTTGCATGAGCCAGCCAGATCTTGATGGGAGCAGAAATTTGTTCATCTGTTGCAGTTGTATGCGACTTTCTTATCACACCTGGAATATAATATTTAAAAATCAGTGTAATTAGAGAGAGAGAGAGAGAGAGAGTGTTTTCTTTAAATAAATATCTGTTCTCATTTAAGTTGCTTCAAAGAAAGTTGAAAAATTTTATGTTAATGTAAATATATAAATAAAGAGATTACTTAAATATTTGTTTAAACATTTAGAATTATTTAGAAAAGGCATACCGCCTCCGATTTTGCTAAAACTCACGTATCTTATATATTTTGACTCATAGAAACCGGATCCAAAAGTAAAAATAGTTATTTAACTCTATAAAGCAAGAAAAAAATTGTTAAAGATAGAGGTATGATAGATTAGGAAACCTGTCATTGCAAGGTAAAGTTTGTTCGTTGTACTTATTGTATTAGTGTAGCGCAGTATACAACTAAACTTTTATAATTATTGTACATAAGATAGAACTTATTTTGAATTGTACACAAAATAACTCCTATCTTGTGTACAATAATTATAAAAGAATATATCTTTAAATCTTCACCTTATATGTACTAAAATGGCAGATCCTAAAAAGGTTAGCAAAGGGCCCTACACAAGGGAGAGTGTATCATTAATCAGAAGCAGAAGAATGTAAGTATATGCTATCTCATTATGTAGGACTGATCTTGTTCCTCTTGTTACGCAATAAAATAACATATGCTATGATTCTTCCGCTTTTGATTCATGATACATTCTCCTTTGCATAAGAGCCTTTGCTAATCTTTTCAGAATCTGTCATTTTAATATAAGGTAGACTCATCACTTTAGTAAGGCAAAGATTTAAAAATATATCCTTTTGCAATTATTGTACACAAGATAGGTCTTATTTTGAATTGTGCACAAAATAACTCCTATTTTATGTACAATAATTATAAAAGAATATATCTTTAAATCTTCGTCTTACTAAATCAATGAGTCTACCATATATTAAAATGACAAATTCTGAAAAGATTAGCAAAGGCCCCTATGCAAGGTTACATGTGACAAAATTATTTATATAAATATTCTTAATTTAAGTATTTTCATTTAGTTGTTATACTGCATTACACTAATACAATAAGTGTAACGAACAGACTTTACCTTGCAATGACAAGTTTCTTAACCTATCATATTCTATCTTAAACAATATTTTTCTCGCTTTGTAGAGAAACAATGATTTTTAATTCAGATTCGGCTTCTATACGTGAAAATACATAAAATATGTGAGTTTTAGCAAAATCGGAGACGGCGTGCCTCTTCTAAATATTTATCAATTATGCTATTAATTAAAAATTAAGATTTACAATTCTGTATGTATATTCTGATTGTATATTTTACTTACATATAATTACTTTACACAATTGTAAGTTGCTGAAGATATTTTTCTTTTTCGCTCCATACCAGCTGTATTTCATGGCTAATTCATTGCTGAAGATTTGTCTCATTAATCTTATACATGATGTTTTTAAATCCTCGCATACAACTCGAACCAATTGTTTAATCTGAAATGTAAGTACAGAGTTAATATTAGTTCAATATTTCGTCTAATGACATTTATTAATTTATATATATTATGACTCTATGGATCCTCTCTGAGACTATCTTTATTTAATTATGTCAAAAGTGAAAAATTGCACGACAAAAATTATTACAGCATACGTTAAAATAAAAATATATGTCTATTAAACAACAGTTTCTCTTCCAATCGAGTCAAAAAAATATATAAAATGTTCCGAATATTTTCCTGTTATTATGATAATGAATAGTTATATAATTAAAGTGTTAAAATACAGCTTAGGTTTTAATCTATATTTTTGTGATTTTAATTATGTTACTTAGCAGCTGTATTGAATAATAAACAAATATAAAATACCATATTTTTTCTATAAGTTGAGTCATTCTTTAACTTTGTTTCTATTATTTCAAGTTCATTGTCACTTTTAACTGATAAATTCTGAAAAATGTCATCTTCCCCTTCTTCTGTGTCAATAGTAGGAACTGACCGTTTATGCAAAAGAAGTTTTACATTTCTGTCTACTGCATTGACTTTCAATTTTAAAGATATTAATGTTTCAACAACAAATCGGTGAAAATTTTCTGTTCCTGTGAATTAATAAAAATATTACACTCTGTTCGGAACTAGCCCGAACATAGGATAGCTCCGGAGAGCTGGCTGGAAGTACGGGATCGCAGAGCGACGTCCGCCTGCGTCTAGGCTCGCTCGAGTCCGCTCGGTGACCGTCCGGTCGTCCTGATCAAAGGCCGGGGCCTCGCAAGGCGACCACAGACCCTGCTGATCAGGCCGCGTCGCGCGCCGAATGGGCCATGCCCAGGGACGGCGGCGAGAACAAGAGAGAAGAAGCACGCGCACGTGCCGACGTAAAGTGACACGCAGTGTAAACGCAATGGACGCAATAAACGCAGTAGTAACGCAGAAGAGAATAACGCAGAAGAACGACGCCGAAGAACCTAAACGTAGCTATATACAAGCGAAACAACGTCGCCTACGCAAGTCCCGCAGGACACACGTCCGTGACGTCAACGGTGCGCGGCACCCGAAGCACGCCAAGGACGTGCAACGAAACGACCTCCGTCGTTTCGGATGGCCTGCCCTTCCGGGCGTAATGGCCAATAGCCAGCCACGGTCCCGAGGACGCGTGGAAACGGAGCTCCGAGAGCTCCGGCTCGCAGGACGACCAAGTCGCTCCTGCGAGAAAGCCAAGTTCCCAATGGACACTTGGACGAAGGAGCGCGAACGCTCTAGGACTGCGACCGAGCCGCTCCAAAACCGCCAAGGCCCCCTACGGACACTTGGGCAATAAGGGAGCTCGAAGCTCCGAGGAGACGGTCGAGTCGCTCCTAAGATCACGGCAACGCCGTGAGCCCGAGATCACAAACCGAGATTCGAACCATTTGCCTCAACCCAGCAGGGTGTGTCGGCGCCACCTTCAACTCAGCAGAGTCTATAGAGCAGTGGTTCGAATCTGAAACGAAATACCCGATCGCCCTAGGAAGCCTAGAAAGCGCGTCGGTAATCACCAGTAACACGATGCACTAACGTGTAGCACTACTTGCTACCTAAACTGGCCAGGCAGAAGACAAGACAAGGCAAGGACCAGGCATCGCGCGCCTGGTTATATATCCGGGCGGTCGAATCTTGCCCGCGGGCAGCGGAATCGCGAGCCGCGCCGTGTAGCGGCCGCGGTTGGACCTAGTGGGGGTCCCGCGCGCTCGCTCGCGAGAACCCGCGTCCCCCGCCGCTAGCGAGAACGCCCCGGGAACCAGGCCGCCCGCCCTGCAGCGTTGACTCGCACCGACTATCCGTACAGCACGTGATGCTGTACGGAACACACTCTTATATAAATATATTGATAAGCCGCAAAATCAATAAATTTGAATAAAGAAGAGATAACAATAAACTGTCGAGACAATGTAAAATTATAATTTAATATATAATAATAATATTTCTATTTGTGCTTGCTTACTTCTGTAGTCGAAAACATTTCCACAAAAGCATTCTCAAATAAAAATGAATCACATGTACCAAATCAAATAAAAAATATATAAAAGTTACTAATATACCTTGACAATTACCAATGTCCAGATCATTAGTTTGTTGCTTGCTTGTGCTCGGTACATTTTCGTAATTTTTATTAATTACATAATGCTCCGTTTGCATGTTATGCTTCGGTTGCTTGTGAAACAAATCTTGTGGAAAATCATCTTTTTGCAATATTAAAAATAACAAAATATTTGTTCATTACATATTATCTGATCATGGATGTTTTATTAATACGTAATAATAATGCTTCTATTTATATTTGCTTACTTCTGCAGTCGGAAACATTTTCACAAAAGCATTCTCAGATGAAAATTAATCACATGTTCCAAATCAAATAAAAAATATATAAAAGTTACTAACATACCTTGACAATTACCAATGTCCAGATCACTAGTTTGTTGCTTGCTTGTGCTCGGTAAATTTTCGTAATTTTTATTAATTACATAATGCTCCGTTTGCATGTTATGCTTCGGTTGCTTGTGAAACAAATTTTATGGAAAATCATCTTGTTGCAATACTAAAAATAACAAAAAAATTGTTTATTACATATTATCTGATCATGGATGTTTTATTAATATGTAATAATAATGCTTCTATTTATACTTGTTTGCTTCTGCAGTCGGAAACATTTCCACAAAAGCATTCTCAGATAAAAATGAATCACATGTTCCAAATCAAATAAAAAATATATAAAAGTTACTAACATACCTTGACAATTACCATTGTCTAGATCACTAGTTTGTTGCTTGCTTGTGCTCAGTAAATTTTCGTAATTTTTATTAATTACATAATTCTCCGTTTGCATATTATGCTTCGTTTGCTTGTGAAACAAATCTTGTGAAAAATCATTTTGTTGGGATACTAAAAATAACAAAATATTTGTTTATTACATATCATCTGGTCATGGATGTTTTATTATATATCATCAGATTATAACTTTTTTGTATACCTTGTTTTGTTTCTTTAACACTTTACCGACCGATAGCCGATTAATCGGCTTTCTGTCCCCAGCGCTTACCGATCGGTGGCCGATTAATCGGCTTTCTGTTCCCAGCGCTCACCGACCGGTGGCCGATTAATCGGCTTTCTGTCCCCAGTGCTCACCGACCGGTGGCCGATTAATCGGCTTTTTGTCCTCAGCGCTCACCGACTGGTGGCCGATTAATCGGTTGCGATGGTAACCAACAAACATTTGTTATTTGATTTTGAGGTATTGTTTGGTTTCGTCTGTAAGCTCCCATATTTTTATACCACTTTGAAAACTTAGCGTTCACCATGAGCGGGAAAAATGGTAGTGCTGAGTTTTACTTAGATAATCTGTCAGATTGTCCTGACAGCTATTCAACAAGTGATAGTGATGACGAAAGTGATGGCAGTGATATAATGATTCGAAAGCGACGTTCTGTATTACCACTAAGATACAGTGATTCAGAAGACGATGATGTAAACACCGTTGAAGACAACGATGGTACATGGTCGACAAACGACAAAGCGATAATGTTGAAACCTTTCGAAGGCAGCCCCGGCGTAAAAATTATGCCAAGTTCGCCAGAAAATTTAATGGATACGGTAAATTTATTCATTGGAAATGACTTTTTTGAGCACTTGGTGGGGGAATCCAATAGATACCATTATCAAGTAATGGAGAGATATAGAATTACATCAAAAATGAAAAAGTGGACAGATATAACGATACCCGAAATGAAGAAATTTTTAGGCATACTAATTCTAATGGGACAAGTAAAGAAGGACGTTCTCTACGATTACTGGACCACTGACCCGACTATAGAAACTCCATTCTTCGCGCAAGTAATGAGCAGGAACAGATTTCTACAAATATTTCAGAGCTGGCATTTCTGTAACAATGAGAACATTTCTCACAATTCGCATAGGCTTGCTAAAGTCCAGCCAGTCATTGATTATTTAAAGCAAAAATTTAATGATGTATATAAACCATCTCAACAATTGTCTTTGGATGAGTCTATAATTCCGTGGAGAGGTAGACTTTCGATAAAAACATATAATCCCGCAAAACTCACAAAATATGGAATACTGGTCAGAATGCTGTGTGAAGCTCGTACAGGATACATATGTAACTTTCGCGTGTATGCTGCTGATGGACAAAAATTAGAAGATATTGTATTATCGGTTATTGGACCCTATAAGAACATGTGGCATCATATATATCAAGATAACTACTACAACAGTGTCAATATGGCTAAAATTCTTTTGAAAAATAAAGTGCGAGTGTATGGAACAATTCGAAGAAATAGAGGTCTTCCTCAATCACTCCAAACAATAAAACTTTCAAGAGGCCAGCGTGAATTTCGTAGAAATCACCATATTTTATTAGAAGTGTGGAATAATGGCAAAAGATATGTAAATATGATCTCAACAATACATTTCGTACAATTAACGGAATCTGGAAGCAGAAGTCGAAAAGCAAATGCTCTAACACAGAAGCCTACTTCAGTAATCGATTACAACCAATATATGAAGGGCGTAAACCGCGCAGACCAATATTTATCCTATTATTCCATTTTTAGGAAGACAAAGAAATGGACTAAACGAGTCGTAATGTTCTTTATCAACTGTGCACTTTTCAATTCATTTAAAGCATATACAGCTCTAAATGGAAAAAACATTACGTATAAAAATTTTATGCACAAAGTGGCAATATTGTGGACAGAAGATTGCGAAGCTAAGGAACAAGATGAAAATCAACCTTATTCTGAACCCACAAGGAGAACATCCCGATTCGATCATCCCGGAAGACTGTCAAATTTCGGAAAGCATAAACTTATAAACATAGTGACCAGCGGTCGGAGTGCAAAACCCCAAAGACAATGCAGAGTTTGTACAATTAAAAAAAAAAGAAGTAGAACAAGTTTTATCTGTAAATTTTGCAATATTCCACTACACAAAGGTAACTGTTTTGAGCGGTATCATACTTTAAAAAAATATTAAACGACTTCTTTTTTGAAAAATATGGTTATATGGATTATGGTACATTATATAAATATTAAACTGAAAACGATTGTAATAGATAAAGTAAATATTGCTTAGCACTAATATCATGAAAATAAAAGATTTTATGAAATTTGATTATCCTATAATAACAGAAAGCGTACAATTTTACTTGAGCATAAGAAAAGCGCATATATTCCCGCGCGACAGTCTAAGCCGAAACAGAACCGGTGCCAGAGAAGATCTGTGGCCGAGTGGCCGGTGAGAAGTGCATAGGATGTTGAACGCTACCGGTCGGTAAAGTGTTAATATGCTTCGCTGGTTGTTTTGAAATTTTTGGCACATTTTCCGATAATTATTGTATGGATTAAGGAGGAAAATTGAGACGCAGTCTGAATAACTTATAACTATCAAGAAAATAGGAAAAATAGTGTAACAACCTGCAGTTAATTATTTTTGTGCCACATACCCCTGAAAGACAGGTTGAAAGAAATATAAAATTTTATACAACGAATTGGCCTATCTAACAAAATATCTATTGAGGTACAAATTTATTAATGCATAATAGTTAATGTTATTTTATTTTTATTTTTTTTATTAAATCTTGATATATTATGACGTGATATTTTTTTGGTAACTAGAAATTTATTTTTTTTTTTTTTTTTTATTTTTGGTATACTTATTTACGAGTGACTTTTTTTTTTTGGTAACCCTGGAGAAACCCCTTATGGATACCCACAGGCCCCTGGGGGAGAGCCCGTGGGTTATATCGGACTCGCACCGACTAAAACTCCAGGGGGTGCCTTCTTCAGGGGCAGCGATGGCGGCCGGAAGTACTGCTTGTATTACTCCTTTTCCTAAGCCGCCGCCCCTTTTGGCCCCACAATTACGTGGGACCCTTATCCGCCTTGGGTCCCGCGTGCCACAGGACTTATAGGGGGCTGTGGTGAGGGGAGCCGCGCGGCTAGACACCGAAATGCAAGTGCCGCTTAATGCGACTACTACCGCTGCACCACACCCCCACCCCGGTGACCAAGTAGGGGGAGCGAGTAGAGGACCCTAAGGTCATACTCGCTCGACCACCGTACCTGGGCCGGGGAGCGCCGCCCTATCGGAGGGCACGCGGGGCGTATACGACATGACTACGTGCGTTCAGATGGACACGGAAAGCGGAGAATGGAGTAGAGAAGCATTAGAAGCCATCCAATCAGAATCGGGCCTCCGCCCGATTCTGATTGGGTGGCTCCAGACAGCACAAGATCTCCTAAGAACATCCCAGGGACGTCCTGAGGATGAAGAAACATCCCGAGGTCATCTTCAGGACGTAATCTGAACGTTTCTTGGATACATGTGTTATTAAGGTCATTCTACAATACGTGTCGTAAGTTGTAAGTCGTAAAAATTGGCGAATCACAGTCGATTATTACAAAAATAATCGGTTATAGTTGGTTAGTTCTTACGGTTTACGATTTACGACACGTATTGTAGAATGACCTTTAGAGACCTTCTACAATATAAAGCAATTAGTCAAAAGCCGTAAGCAAATTGACCAATCACATTTGATTATTTTTTAAATAATCGACTGTGGTTGGTCAATTTGCTTACGGCTTATGACTAATTGCTTATTGTAGAAGGGATATGTCCGATTAATGATTAAAATATTGTTGATAATATTCCAATATTTCTAGAATATTCGATAAATAAACTGAATATTATTGATGAATTACGTAATTCTAAAAATATACGAAAAATAATATACTACGAAAAATATTATAGGGATATTCTCAGTATATTAGATATATCTATAGTATATTTAGTATGAAAACAGTATATACGAATAATATCATGTGCTGTGTGGGATATGATGAAACGATAGATTAAAATAGAAAACAATGAAATTCTCAATAAGTCATATCGGTTTTTATCGCTTTCTCTCTTTCGATCTTTATTAGATGATTGCATAAATCCATGCCCGATTTAACTCTTTGAAGCACGAATTTTTATATACAATAATAAAAGGAACTGATTATGTATATAGGGGTTTTCTGGGTCGCTGATTACAAATTTGGAGTAAAAATTTTTAAATTCAAAATGGCGGATTCAATATGGCGATTCAAATAGGTAACTTTGATATTATGGATATGTATCAAACTCGGAATATATATGTTTTTTGATCATAGATGACAAACACAGAATCGAAGTTAAAAATTTTGAAATGGCAGACCCAATATGACGACAATAAATTGTTAACTTTGATATGATATTATGGATTTTAATTTGGGAAATCTAATAACAAACAAATTCATAATCAGCGACCCAAAAAACCTCCATATACTTATTTCTGTCGAAATCGAAGGATTTGGAACATTTTTGTCCACTATATTGGATCCGCCATTTTGAATTTCGGAACTCTGATAATAAATTCGTGATCAGCGACCGAAAACACCTCCATGTATTTATTTCTGTCGAAATCGAAGAATTTTTAACATTTTTGTTTACCATATTGAATCCGCCATTTTAAATTTTGA